CCAAGGCCATCCTCGTCAATTTTTATTTTTTTTAAGAAAAAAATATTTTTGGAAAATATTTCACATTTAAAAAAATTTCATTTTTTATGTCACTGCCACTCCTACCCCCTACCCCCGCGCCACCCCAATCAAAAAAAAAATGTTTTTGAAAAATATTTCAAATTTTGAAATTTTCATTTTTTATTTCACCGCTACCCCAGCCACCACCTCCCCACCCCAGCGACCCCGTCAATATTTTTTTCTTAAAAAAATTGTGTTAGGTCCTGAGTCAGATCTCAGGGTCGGATTTGGAACGATCATCTGGGTCTTTCCTAGTTTGGTGTTGGGGTCAGATCTTATATCAATTATCGGGGTTGATTTTCGGATCATAAATTATTTTCCTAGAGAGATTTTTTTTTAGTGTCAAGCAAAAAATAAAATATACTTTTTGAAAAATATTTTTCATTCACCAATCAAACATTAAAAGAGACCCTTTTGACCAGCCGTAGAATCCGTATCCGAATCCTCAGACGGGTTCGGGTTAATGTTGATTTCTTGATCATCCGGGTCGTAATCCGGATCTAGGATTCCGATCAATGGCATCACGAGCGGCGATTTCTATGTAAGAAATCCTAAAATTACTCTGGCTGGCTATTGCATATTCCTATCAATGTCGTCGTAACTCTCTCCATTGCTTTTGAAATTCTGAATTTTGGAAAATCTGGCTATTACCACATGATTTGATTTAGCTTCTTGTTTGATCATTTTTTCCAGTTTCTCATCAAAGCGGTTGACGTTTTCTTGAAAAACACTTTCTAGGAAAATAAGTAGGTTCCTTGATTTTTTCATTCTTATGTAATCAACTAAAGATATTTTAAAAGCATTTATCTTAAACGAGCTTTGTTTAGATTTATTTGTATTACGTTTAAAAAACAACTCTCTTTCCTAATTTGACAAATCTTTAATTTTAGAGAAAATAAATAAAGTCACTAATAAATAAATTTGTCTTGAATTTTCAAAAATATACTTTAATTTTGCGACACAACTTCAAAATAGTATGTATACCCATTTTCACCCAATACCACTTGTACAAAAATATTTGTGTGTTACTCACTAATAGCCATTTGCCACGTGTTAATTATAAATTATTTTTATTTGCTTTTCTTTTTTTCTTTTTCTCTTTCTTCTTTGCCTCAACTTATGTTCTTCTGCCATTCCCTTCTAGCTACAACACACGTCAAACCTGTTGGGATATATACTGTTAACCATGTGTTAAGAAATAATATTTATTATAGAATAAATATTTGCTCAATTTGAATAGATCATATATTCGTTTATGGTGTCTATTTACTTATATAGTAAATGATTTAGTGTGTAGAGTTTTAGCTTATACACAGATGATTAAATCATCGGTTCTTATAAGTATAAAGTTTTTTGTTCACAATCTAGGATGGAAATTGGACATGCCATCGGTACGATTGTAGCACAAGATTATAGGTAATTTATCTTGATTATGGGAACGGTATAGTTCCAACTTCTTGTGCTAGTGCATTTTGTATGTATTGAACGGGACCGAGTAGAGATAGTTGTTTTAGACTGACTGACAAAACATATTTTCTAAACTATTAAATGTACTTATATTCTTAATCCTGATATAACTATTATGATCTGTATATATTAATTATCGTTTTGATTTATTAAAAGGTGAGATTCTGAGATGGGTCAATATGTCTGGTAAGTTGTATGATAATAATATATATTGGTGAAATAATAAGTTAGTTGAT